AAAAAAAAAGTTGTTACAAATGGCACTTAAGTTTGTAAAAAAAAATGTTCATAATGCAAGAAATATAAGGTGGAGTACATAGTTCTTTAATACTATAAAGGAAGCCAGTAAAGCTTCCAAAAGAAAAGATGCATGGTTATTAATATATGCTGTAATTATATAGATATGTTCCAAATTTTTGCCAAAGCTGCTTTTTTTATGACTGAGTATGTGGGAGGGGCACTGATTAATAAGGCATCTTTATGTTATTACCAGTGTGTAGTATGTTTAAGGGTTTAAAGAGAGGGATGGATAGATAGATAGATCATGTTAGTTAATAGATGTACCTAAATACTGTTGAAAATAGTATAATTAATGTTCAAATGTTATTTGATTAATAACACTCCTATAATTCAATCAACTATGTGGTATTCCAAATATTTGCTATGTTTAAACAAATCATCTTAGTTCTTATATAATTAGCACTAGCCATATTTAACAGCTATTACATATAAAGGTTTTAAAATCATTAAAGGCTTAAAAGATAACTAAAATTGAAACATAGAAAAGTGGAAAAAGGCTTAACTAGTTCTGTCATTTTTTCTTTCTGAATCTTTTTCTTGCACATACATTTTCAGGGACACTTTTCAAGTACTATTAACAAAAACTTCCCTATAGCTAAGGTTATGAGATAACAAGTCCTTTGAGACCTATATCAGCAACTATTTTAATTAGAATAGATATATGTAATTAGAACCTGTCTCTCTCTATATAAATTTTCTATTAGATACCACTAAACACTTTGAGAATTTAGATTGGTTAATGTTTCTACTATAATTAATTTACTCTGAAGAGCTTTCCCACAGATACTAGAAATAGCATACAATTCTAAGTTTTTAAAATTTTGCTCAAATTAAGAGAGGAATTGTGTGACTTCTGAAATATAATGGACATTTAGTAAAATTACTGTCTTTTCCCAATTTTCTTCTATAGTTTTAACTTTTTAACTAATTTTATTCTTTTTATTTGTATGCTATGATGTATTATGTTATATTGCACACTTAATGGCCTAAAAGCTTACATTCAAACCTAACTGGTTGTTCTGTTAATTAGAATAAAATTTGATAAAATTCCCCAAGATAATATTTTACTTTTTAAGTGTTTAAAAACAGGCTTGAAATTACATCAGTTCATTTTTGTATATATTCCTTCTCATATGATATCCTTTATTAACTTAAACCTACTGGTCTTTATGAAAGTATATAAATGCTCAAAATTATACTTTAAGTTAATTAAACATGCATAGTAGTAAAACAGGAAAAAAACTAAAACCCCTAAATAAGATCATTCAGGTTTACAGGAGAAAATCAATACTTTCTCATGGTAAACTATTGATCAAGCCTACTCTTCTATATTATGACAACTGAGGACGGTTTGTGGGGAAGAAAACAACAACTCAGAACCTCATTTTATATGAATAATTCCACTTCATGGTTTGTGTGATCATTAGATTTCTTGATCTCTAAAGAAATCTAATTAATTAAGAAATGAATGTTCCTAAACTCCAAAGAGGAAGCATAAAACCTTAACTTCTGAGAAGGACATATTTTATTGCCAATAGCAAGTTTGATTTAAAATTTGGTTACCAGTTGCATAATCTTATTGCAAGTTTTTCTTCTCTTTTCCTAATTTTTAAATTATAACTACAAGAGGAAAGGACAAGTTCAGATTGTAGCTTACTTTAATGCACTTGTTTTTTGTTCAATATTAGAAAAATTTGCATAGAAAGCCCATGTGTTAGAACCAATATTTCCATTTTCATTGATTCAGTTATGTTACCTAAAGTCATGAGTATGCTGATCTTTATTATTTATTAATATGTACCATGAATTAAAAATAAAAGAATCCAAGCATTTAAACACTGATAATCTGTGATGTAGTTGGCTATTTGGAGAATACACACACGGGTATGTACACACACATACAGACACACACAAATATATATTTCAATAAGTGGTGGGTGGGTGATTCAGAAGGAATGATGACTGCTGTCAACCCAGTTGTTCTGAGGTGCACCCACACCATCAGTATTCATAATGCATGACAACCAACATTAAGTGGCTTTCTTTTTCCAGCTCAGAGCAGCCACTCTTACTAACTGCTGTGTGTATCAGTGAGGGATGCTGAGGGCTACATCAAATGGCTCACACAAGACAGAGAGCCCACCCATTTCCAGGAAGAAACTAACTCTATAGACAGTCATGGTTCAGGGTCAGCACAGAGCATCACTGGAGGGAGCTTTGTTCTCTGCCCCTCGCTCTCACCCTTAATCTCAAGCCATTTGGAGCTGTTCGCATGTTTCAGAGATTCAAACTTGCTTGAATATGTGACTGAGAGAATCAAGTTGCCTTTCTATCTTCGTAGATTGAGTCTTAAGAGATTGGCATCTAGAATTTCATCTGTAAAAATAAATACACAAATAAAAGCCAAATTCATTTCATATGATACTGTTCTTATGTTTTCCCTTTGATACAGAAATAAGAAATGGAAACCTAAAAGCCATTCTAGGGCTGTTTTTCAGTTTGTCTCGCTACAAACAGCAGCAGTATTACCAGTCCCTGGTGGACCTTCAGCAGCGGGGCCCCGAAGCCGGTCAGGCCAAAACCCAGCAAGACATGCAGTCCAGGTAAGGAAGTGTGGCAGAGGACGTACTTAAGGTCAGTTACCCTACACGCAACTGGTTTGTAACCAATTACTGTGCGTGAGTTTGAGAAACGTACTTACGTAGGTGTGTCAACAAGACATGATTATTTGAATAACGTTTTGCAAGTAAAACCATTTTCCTTTTGGCTGGATGAGCAACATTTATCATTTTTTAGGTGAAATGTTTATGTTTGTTATCTAAAGACAACGTGGTTTTTATCAAAGTGTGTGAAATGTCTTTCATACAAGTAACATGGCATAGTTACTTCTTATGGCAAAGTTCGTTACTCAGAATGGGCTATTGAGTCCTAGTTTCTGGTTGTGTAGTTTATCTTTTGTTGGACCTTTTGACTCATTGAATCATCAAATCTGTCAAATATTTTACGTCTGTTAAGAATAGGAGTTTGAGTGTTGGAAACATTCTGTTTCTGATGTGAGATGGTGCGTGTGTGTATTTACATGCACACTAGCATGTGCTTGTCTGACTTGAGTCTCTCTGTGCCCGCAGATGCAGCCCGGGGCGGGGGGCTGACCAATCAGGGCGATTTCCTTCACTCTTCTCCTGCTAACTTCTCTCCAGTTGGGGATTATTACAAGCCAGAGTTTAACTGGAGGAGCAGAACAAGTACAAGATACATATTTAGACACTTATCGTAGAGAATTGATTTGTATGATTGTGGAATCTGTCTAAGCAAGTCTCAGATCCCGAGCACAGCCCGGCAGGAAGGATGGGCTGAAATGGCATGAGCCAGAGCTGCTATGCACAGGTGGAATTTCTGCTCCCAAAGAAGCCTCAGTTCTGCTTTTAAGATCTTGCAAGTAGTGAACACCCAGGTTATCTAGGATAATCTCTATTCGTTAAAGTTAACCACTATGGACTTCAACCACATCCACAAAATACTTAAACAGCAACACGTAGATGAGTGTTTGACTGAGTAGGTGGGACTGAATAAACCTAGCCAACTTGGTGTGTCGAACAGTGATCACAGAATGAAATTAAGTTAACAGATTTGATGCAAACTGCTCATTTGTTCCTCATCGATGACCAAGGTAGCAGGTAGTTTCCTACATACATAGTTAGCTATGACTGTTTTTCTTAAGGAGGGAGAATGTCCAAAATGAAAATACTCTTCATCATCTTAAAAATATATACACATATTAAGCATATGAATATATTTAACTTTTTCCATTTTACAAGCCAAGCCTGAAACCTAATAATACTCAGTTCACCTTGAGTTTGTTTTTAATAGTTAGCATTGACTCAAAAGTTAAATTTCCAAAACACATTCACAAACTGCCCATCTCCTTACTTATTGCTGACTGTTCAATAGTTCATAAATCTTCTCTTGCATCAGTTAACCAGTTCTCACTCCCTATTAGGCAATATTTCTTTCTTTCATATAAACTATTCTCTTTGGCAGATTTTACTAATTATTATTAAATCAATAAAGAAAAGTCACATTTTACCAAAAATTTATAAAGTACACTATATCATTCAAGAAGCAAAAAGAGGTATTTTTCCTTACCCAATAATGCAGTATTCTTCTGTTCTTGAAGCTACTCTTGTCTTCTTGTGATGCCAAGTGAAATTGTGCAGGAGTCAAAGTAAAAACAAAATTCTCTACAGTCTGAGTTCTTTGGGTTTCTTTAAGGATAGAGGACAAAAAAGAAATATCTTTTATTTATGTCTTCTTTTTTATTTTTTTTTGAGAAGTTGGAGAAAGAGATCTAGATTTTGAAAACTGCCAGAAACAATATTTCCTAGAGTTTGGTTTAAGCAAGAATAGTAGCTGAAAAAATACAGAAGTAAAGTGGTGTTGTGCCAAGCACGTTCGCTCTGGAAGTGATAGGCATTGTTGTTCGTCTCTGCTTTTCCTCACTGAGGCTCTTGCCCAGAATTTCTTGGTAGTTATGACCCTTTTGGGGAGTATTTTTTTTCTTTTTGGATATGCATGGCTGTTATGAAACTGTATTACATTTTAAAATAAAAAGCCCTATATAGTAGGCCTGGTGATTGTATACCATTTTGGGAAGAGTTGTCATATTTCTTTTTCATTGAAAGTTTATGAAGAGTATTCTTTTCACCAGTGTCCTTTAAGACTGAGGTATATGTCTACATAACTTTTCTTCTGATAAAGTGGATTTAATTGCTTTTGTATTGACAATTAATTTAATAAATGCAGAGTACTTGCTGTAGTAAATGTAATACTTGGGACTCTGATATAGAGGAACTCATAGCCTCAATTTTAATGGAAGTTATTGTATGTTTTGGAGAATGTCCTCTCTCAGATGTTAATACTTATTTGCATTTATAGATATTTAGTATAGTAAAACAGTCTATAAATTAGGATTTAATGTGAACTTGCATACAACCGTGTATTTAAGCATTTCAAAAGCCTATAGTGATAACATACATAGGAAAGGAATGTATAGTAGAACTGAGATAATGCAAAAACAGAAACAAAACAACCTGGTGACACGTTTGTCTTCCTTTACTTGAGATGTGAATTATAAATCATGATTGTTGAAGTCTTTCTATTGATTCCAAAGCTCTTTCCAAGTAAATTTAGCTTAAAGACTGGTTGCTATATTACTCTGCATGTTTAGCTAGCAAGTGTTCTTCGATTTTTCTCTGTGCACTGATAAAAAAATATTAAGGCACACTGTTCAGTTCAGTGAAAGTTTCTTGTTTTGTTTTCTTTGTTTATTTAAAATAAACTGCAAAAAAATTTTTTCCACAATATTTATTTTGTATACTAAGAATTCCTAATTTAGTTTTGCTATTTTGAAATAGCTCCAAATGTTTTCCATCAGTTTGAACATCTTTCATTTAAACAGATTTTTTGATCTAAAGGTTAATGACTAAAGTATATAAGAGAGAAAATATGACATGGACCAAGAGGGACAGAGTGTAGGTGACACGGCTGGTCTCTCAGCTCCTCGTCCACTCTTGTGTATGCATTGGTGTGTGTGTGTGTATGCCCATACCTGTGAGCGTGCATGTACTGTGTGTGCAAGTGTGCATGTATGTGCATCCTGTTCAAGTAGCAACTAGTGCTCTAGTTTACAATAGCTTGCCTCCAGTATCAGACTGCCTGCACTTGGATGCCAGTCCCACCGCTTCCTATTGTGTGACCTTGGGCAACTTACCCAACCTCTCTGTGCTTCAGTGTTTTTACTTGTTAGAAGAGAATAAAAAATGGCACCGATCTTATTAAGTTGTTTTGAGGGTTCACTGGGTCAGTACATACAAAAAGCTCCAAATACACCTGGCACATGTCACTCCCCTGCTCAGAGTCTGCAGTGATTTCAAAGAGCCCAGGCTTGCTCCCACCTGAGGAGTGTGCTCCCACTGATTCCCAGGCCTGGAGTGCTCTTTCTCTGAGAGCTGCATGGCTAAATCTCTCACCTCCAAGTCAGCTGCTCGAGGGTTGCCTTCTCGCTGAAGGCAACCTTAACTACCCTTTTGGCACTGTAGGCTGCCTGTCTCTACTCCCCATGGTACTTTGCCATATTCTTCCTTTTTTTATAAGCTCTAACCCACAATTTACTTATTTATTATATTCTTTATTACTTCACTCTAAAAGGTAAGCACTGTGGGGACAGCAGTATTTTTATATTTTAATTACTGCTGTATTCCAAGTTATTAGCACAGAGCCTTATACATAGTAGATGCTCAACAATTATTTATGAAATAAGATAATGTAAGAATTCATGAATTTGTATTATAGCTGCTTCCAATTTTAAGTAGGAAGACATTCTAAGATTTACAGTTAAAATGGCAAGTGATTTAAAATGAAAATTATATATATATTTGTAAAACTGATATAATTAAGAAAATTAAACCTGTTCTTGATTTTTGGGTGGTCATGATGTTGTTTCAATTGCAAGATGGTACATAGTGGAGCCCACAGAGATTACTCAGATGCATGGAGCTGTTGGCTTCTATCTTAACTGATTTTGTCTATTTATTATTGATATTGTGTTCCCTTTCGCTAATTCATTGTTGTCAGTATTGCCACCTCAGTGCATTACTGCTCTCTTACTAATACATGATTTAGGTTCTGTGGGATAAGAGAGCAGATTACCAACAGTTTAGCATATTGGTACCATAAAAAGTAAATAGGTGATGAGTGAAATTCTTGGGCTATGGAAAGCTCCATATAGTGTAAGGCCATTTATCTTCATAACTCCTTCCTTCTCAGTCTTGTTTTGCTTAAACAAGCCAAATAAGATGCTGATCTAGTATTAAAAAATGATGCACCTGATTTGCAGCTAGTAGAGCATAGTCTGCTTTAAAAAAATTAATTACAGACTGGTAAGAAATAATAATGCCACAGCTAATCTGCCTTAACGATGTCCAGATTATTAATTTGTTTACTTAATAAATAATATAAAAACTGCTCTTATATTGTGAACAAAATTGTTACAAGGGAAAGAATACTACTGACAGCCACATGCTTCTGAATTAATCCCCAGATGGCCTTGGTTATGTGGATTTACTTAATGATACGGGAGGGAAATGGTCTTGATCACCAATCTTCTTCTCATGTAACTTGAATTATCCACTTGTAGTATCTGTATTAAAATAAAGGTGAAACTCAGATTTTAAGTTTTGTAAATCCGTCACAGGGAAATATTTGGTTGTATTTGGCATGATAAATAATTAACTAATCAATTCTCAAGAATTTAGTATATTTAATACAAAAAATAGATTTTTTCTATGCTGGTGATCTTTGGAAGGACTTTATACAAGTAAAGATTAAACATCCTGCTATATAACATATGTTAAGCATCCTACCTGCATGTATTTAATACAAACATAAAACCAGTTCCTTCTATTTTATGGCTTTTCTTTTTCTTTTGAAAAAAGTAGATTAAAAACTCTCTCTCCAACCAGCTGGGAAATCTGAGAAATATTTTAACATAAAATGATAAAAATATTTTATGAGTTGAAATCTTAGTTATTTTCTATAGATATTA